CCCAGCTGGTGCCATGGGTCGATTGACTGAGATGACTGGCCGATGCAATACCTGCTGTGCCTCCTACTGTGCCAACTTGCTATGTTTTATCCGCCCGGCGTTCTGCTCGTTGTTGTGAGTGTCGCTCAACTGCCCTCCGTTGTTGCTGGAGGGCGACTGCCTCCAACTGACCAGTAGCAGCAGCAGTCCTTCACGAGCCTCCTCCACAGAGGCCGATCTTGACACCGCTGGTACCGGTCATCGGCAAGTCCACACACTCACACGTGGACGCACGCAAAATCAGAACCTTATCCCCGAGCAGCTATCAGCGCCGTCATTATCAACTTTCACCTAATCACGCCCGGCATCAAGTGTGAGTGACACAAGGTCACACAGCACAGGGAAAAAAAGAATCCGTCTCGTGACATTATCTGAGCAAACCACACAAAGTCTCGTCCCTAACTCAGCTAACCAGCCTACCAGCTGACTAACCGAATAGTTTACCACCCTGCCAGCTCACTGCCCTGCCAGCAAACCAGCCTCACAGCTCCACCGGTCTGGCAGGTCTTGATCCTAGCAGATCACCAAACTAACAGCTCATCATGGCAAACATCACCATCAACAGTACGATCTATATCAGCAAGACTGCCTCAACCATCACCACCGCTATTCTCACCACCGCCACCGCCACCATCATCTTCGTCGCTACTTCATTATTTACAACATTCTTACGCCAACTTTAGTAATCAAATCCACCATCAGCACTTCCAGCCACCATCAACACCAATCAGCCTGCACAGACTCTTTTGGGGGGGGGGGGGTAGGTGCTGTTCGCGAGCACCTATTAAGGTCGAAATCGGTGCACCAGCGAGTGGTGTGACTGATGTTGACACCACACAGCGGGCACTCAAGAGAGAGGGAACCTCATGGGAGAGCCTGGACAGGTCCACGTCACTCACTGCGGACAGACGTCAGACGTGGCTGGGAATCGAACTTGGGTTTCTGAGGTGGCATCACAGTGCACTCACCACTCTGACAACTTCCCTCCACACCAGCACCACCTCCTCCTCCTAAACAATTATTACCGTCACCACCATCACTTGCACCACCACTACCATCACCTAACCTACACCACCACTACCATCACCTACACCACCACTACTATCACCTACACCACCACTACCATCACCTACACCACCAGCCTTAACTACACCACCACCATTAACTACACCACCACTACCACCACCTACACCATCACTACTACCATCGTCTAAACCAACACTCCCACCAGCTTCACCACCACCATCGCTGTCAATCACGATTACCAACACAGACACAGGGCAGATAGGTGTGACGTTCACAGGTATTCATTTAAGGCTGAGTAAACCTTGTGGGAGACCCAGGACCAGTCCAAATATCACTCTCCATTGACGTTAGCCATCGACCGGGAATCGAACTCAGGTGACTATGTTCGTGGTGTATAGTGTGCTAACAACTGCCCCACCAACACCACCTATATCATCACCACCACCTGCACAACGAGAGACAGAGATCACTATTCCTCCGTTGAAGTAGCGCAGACTACAGCGGTTTATTTACGACATTGTTTACACAACTACCATCATCGTACACGATTCAGAAAAGATATTACAACCGAGTCACTGGGTTCGTAGAACGGTGGGTTAACGACTGCACTCACCACTCCACAAACCGATCCCACCACCATCATCTTAGTCATCATCATCACCACCCCTGCCACCACCATCACCACGGTCATCATCACCATTACCGCCACCAGCAGCGCCACCGCCACCAAAGATGCCCCCTATAGCCACAACACGCTGTTGGGGCAAGTGCTGTGAGCGAGTAGCACCTATGAAGGTCGGCACGGCACACGAGGAGGTGGGTTGTCAGCAGCACTACGCCCGACCTCCTTTATCTCCCCAGTGCTGATGTTGCTTACGAACCGCACCAGGTCCTCATTTGAGGCTGAGTCCACCTAGGGGAGGACCAGGACCGGTTAAAATAACCTTCGCCGATATTGACCACGAGCGGGATTCGAACTCGGGTTGCCGGGTTCGTAGAGCTGGCGCGCTAATCGCTACACCGCCGCTCACCATAACCGCCCACACCACAACCACCACGACCAGCATCACCGCCACCACTACCACCACCACCACCATCGCAGTCATCATCATCATCATCATCATCACCACCACCACCGCCGCCAGCACGGATGGCGGGTACAGGCAGGTGCGCCGGTGTCTCGTGGCGTTGTCACCCCCCGACACCCCCCCCACCACCCCACCCACAGGGCCTCGCCACCGCCCGTCGCCTGGGGATGGAAATCGTTTTTTAGTTTTTTCCCACGGGTCTCGGCTGCGAGTGATTGGCGGAGAGGCTCCCAGGTGCAGGAATGCGCGGCTCGCGTGTCAACACCAAACACGGGTGCCGGGCGGCAGGGCGTGGGGGAGGGTGGGGGTGAGGTGGGGGAGGGTGGGGGTGAGGTGGGTGGGGGAGGGTGGGGGTAGGTGGGGGAGGGTGGGGGTAGGTGGGTGGGGGAGGGTGGGGGTAGGTGGGGGTAGGTGGGGGTAGGTGGGGGAGGGTGGGGGAGGGTGGGGGTAGGTGGGTGGGGGAGGGTGGGGGTAGGTGGGGGTAGGTGGGTGGGGGAGGGTGGAGATAGGTGGGTGGGGGTAGGTGGGGGTAGGTAGGTGGGGGTAGGTGGGTGGGGGTAGGTGGGTGGGGGAGGGTGGGGGTAGGTGGGGGTAGGTGGGTGGGGGAGGGTAGGGATAGGTGGGTGGGGGTAGGTGGGGGTAGGTGGGGGTAGGTGGGTGGGGGTAGGTGGGTGGGGGTAGGTGGGTGGGGGTAGGTGGGTCAGCGCCAGCTGGGGGTGGACAAGAGTTGGCCGACAGCCAAAAGAACCCCCCCATCAAAAAAATATCACCTGCCCTCTAAACCACCACCAGCAGCAGCACCAGCAGCACCAGTAGCAGCAGCACTACAACTTTGTATAAATGATAAATAAATCATTACCGTAACAGCAGCGTGAGCAGCGAGGCGCCTCCAGGTGGTTATGGTCGTTTTTGTTATCAGGCATCGGATTCGCGCCCGCCTGCCCGCAGGTTGTAAAATAAGCGCTGTTTTGCTGCGACTTGTGTTTATGGGAATGCCTTACCGCAGTGATAGAGCGCAGTGTGATTGTCGCTTTTTAATAATAATTGTGATTATAGCATGTTATTACAATGTTACTAATTTGTGCAGGAGTCGTAGGGTTCGATCACAGGAGGGTTCTGCTGCTTCTGCTACTCTGGGTTTTTATTTTGTAGATGTTTTTATTTTGTTGATGTAGTTGTTTTCAGCCAATAAATGACGGTGATTTGTGCTTATTATTATTATTGTTATGCACGTGGGGAGGAAGCCGGAGCACCTGGAGAAAAAACTCGGCGTGCGATGGGGCAACGCTCTATCCCCATACAGATGGTAACAGATGGCGATTAGTCCACTTTCAAAACTACTATAGACTAAAAACATTTTTGTTAATATTACCAGAGAAGACCAACTGAGCTACTTAGATATTTTGCTGAAGCGACCTGACCACAGATGATACCACAATGAAGTGGGCTTCTCACGTGAAAATGAATTGCAGCCAAATGCTCGAAACGCGTGTTGCAGTTGATGTGGAGGTGAAAACCGGAGGACCCGGAGGAAAATCCACGAGAGAGACACGCAAACTCCAAATATACAGCAGCAGGCGTCAGGGTCGAGATCGAACCCACGACCTCCTGCGTACCAGCCGAGGTAGTTCACATCTAGCCACCGTGATGATGATGAGAGAGAGACATGCAAATTCAAAATATACAGCAGCAGGCGTCAGGGTCGAGATCGAACCCACGACCCCCTGTATACCTGGCGAGGCAGTTAACATCTCGCCACCGTGGCGCCATGCTGTACCACCTTCGCCCGGCGAGAAGGCGTGAGTAATCCACCAACCCTCGCTGCTGCCTTCAGAGTGCTGGATTACAGTCCAGGATCATTGCCACCACCGCCCGTGAGTGTGTTGGAATGGTGGCTCAGTGGACCATGGTATTGAGCTGGATGAAAGCCTACGCATACAATTAAGTACGCAGCGCTGATGTTTACACATTGCACCAGGTACTAGTTTAAGGTTGAGTAGACCTAAGGGAGGCCCATGACCGTTTCAGATATTCGCAACCAATGTTGATGCTGCGAGCGGGAATCGAACTCGTGTCGTTGGGTTTGTAGCTCCTCACGATATACCACACACCACACACGCACCAATACATAGGCATACTTATTATGAGTATCATTATTGCAGATACACACGAACTACCTACGACAAGGACCCGAGCCGCAGTTGACCAACGGGACCACGGGAAAATCACAAATCGGATCGTAGCGGGCAACAGCGGCTGGCTGTCGGAGCCCCTCGATCTCGGCGGCGGCGGCGGCTCGGTAAATCAGTGGACGAGGTCGACCGCCACCCCGCTCGGACCCCTGCGATCTTCCCCTCGCGCTGTTGTCGCGGCCCCCATCGCCCTCGATGGGACTGACCTCTTCCAAAAGCCGGGGTCTGCCCGAGTTCAGGGGTCACGCCCCCCCCCCCCACCCACCACCACCCCCACCAACAATAAAGAGAGTGGCGTTGTTGGTGTGCTTGTAGGACGTCGCGGTGACGGTGGTGGTCTTGGTGGCGGCGATGGTGGGGAGCGGTGGTGCAGCGGTTAGCGCACTGCGCTACGAACCTGGCCACCCGAGTTAGATTCCCGCTCACGGCCAAAGTCAGTGACGATTATCTGAACTTTTCCTGGGTTTTCCCTCGGTCGACTCAGCCTCAAATGAGTATCTGGTGAGGTGTGAAGTAAACATCGCCACTGGGGAGACAAAGGCGATCGGGCGTGGTGCTGGCCACCCACCCTCTCGTGTACCGTGCTGGCCTTAATAGCACTTGCACCAACAATCTGTTCAGTCTATATGGGGGATATTTGTCTTTGATGGTGGTGGTGATGGTGGTGGTGACGATGGTTGTGGTGGTGGTAACGATGGTGGTGGTGATGGTTGTGGTGACGGTGGAGGGATGGCACGTGTGCAGTCGTGACGATGTTTGCATTTTTTGTTCTGCCCCGCTTTAAAAATGATCGTCTCGCACAAAAACGACCGCCCAGCGAGGTCGCGGAGGTCGGCGATTGAGTGGACGCGACAGAGGTGCAGGGGGCTCACGCCGACCCCAGATGTCGACCCCCATTGTTGGGGTCGCGGCTCTTGCTGGGCGGCCGCGTCCATTTCCCCGTTTCGTTCCCTGGCTCCGAGTCGCTCCCCCTGGCAGCGCGGCCATCTGGGAGAGCGAGAGAGGGAGGGAGCACGAGGGGAGGCTGGTGAGTTGGGAACGGGGGAGCAAGGCCACGCTATAGGAAGGAGGCAATGAAATAATGGGCGAGTTTGGGAGTTCCACAAAATATCTGCTTTGTTTCCAAAGCGCTGGATCACATCTGTGCGCCACCCTCGCCTGTCTAAAAAAAAAAATACATGGACCAGCGAGTCTGCCTGTCTCCGGAGAAGGGACGGTGGCATATGGATGAGCCTGGTAAAGGAACAGCAGCCAAAGGGGTGGACATGACGGAGAGGATGAACGTCGTGGATACGGCGCAGGAAGTGATAAGATTGCAGCCGTCCCAGGTTTCAGATATGGACGCTGACGGCGATTTATAAGCGAGATAGAAAAGTGACGTCGCAGTTTTGAATGCACATGTACACACGTACACACACACACGTGTAGATATTACAAGAACGTGCGCGTGATCCCGAGTGGAATGCTGCGCTCTGCGCTCTGCGCTCTGCGCTCTGCGCTCTGCGCTCTGCGCTCTGCGCTCTGCGCTCTGCGCTCTGCGCTCTGCGCTCTGCGCTCTGCGCTCTGCGCTCTGCGCTCTGCGCTCTGCGCTCTGCGCTCTGCGCTCTGCGCTTTGCGCTCTGCGCTCTGCGCTCTGCGCTCTGCGCGCTGCGATTCTGAGAAGACGCAACGCGATGACAATCGGAGCGAGCGCGGCGCCCCTTGCCACCGCTGCCGTCTCTCCGTCTCCCCCGCTGACGCCGAGGCGAGGGTGGCGGCCGGCTTCGCCGAGCTCGCAGACTTCAAACGGCGACGGAGACGCTGCGGTGGCGTCGGCCTCGGCGGGCAGATACCCATCGGCACGGATACAATAAAGCACGCGGGCACGCGCGCGCACGAACGCACGCGCGCACACACTGACGGACAATGCGATGTAGAGTTAACAACAAACCCCCCCCCCCCTTTACAAAACCCCTGGCGAAGAGAGCCACGATAAGGAATTGTATTTGTACACCTTACATACGAAGACAACGATCGCCATCCGTGTAGCCTTTACAGGCTAGCGAGCACCTATCAAGACCGGAAAGCGGTACACGGGGATGTGGATTGCGAGCACAACGCCCTTCGTCTCCCCAGTGCTGATGTTGTTTACGCATGGAAACAGGGCTAACAGCTTGGCGAGCTGGTAAATAAAATATTTTAGTTTAACATCGACAAAAGTTCCCGTGTAGGCGACACAGGATCTTGGAGCAAGTGCTTTCGGAAGCACCTGTAACAGCAGACGCCAGCAGGTGGGGAAGTGGTTTTCGCACGACGTAATTACGCCCGACCACCTTTGTCTCCCCAGTGCTGATGTTATTTACGAACCGAACCATGTACCCGTTTAAGGCTGAGTCAAACTAGAGGAGACCCTGGACCAATTTAGACATCACTCTCCAGGATTAATTAAACTCAGGTCGTAGGGTTCACAGTGCCGCAGCATCCTAATCAATTCTTTCAATTGCTGTGCTCTTATCGTCCATTATTCAGACTATGTGGCCAACATGGAGTCAACCAAAGAAGACGAATCCTTGCAGCCACGAAAGCTTTAAAATGGAGTCACGTCTTTATACAACTGCTGAAGCCGAGTTATTCACGCGTTGAGATTTGCATCGCCTTGAGTGCTGTTCGTGTTTTGTCGCTGCTCTTTGTCCTGACACTCGTGGCGAGACGAGGCCGTACAGGAGGCTGTCTGTCCTCTGGCAAATGCGTCTCAAAGACAATGCATCCGTTGTCATTGTTATTGTTATTGTCAAGGCGTGCGTGTTTGCATGTTCTACCACAAGCATGTGTGGTTAATGCAGACTGGATGCCTTGCAAGAGGTGTGTCTATTTGGTGTCTGGACATCTTAACACCTCCTATATTATTGCCGAATAGGGTAAAGCCTATTCTTTTTATATATATATTTATATTAGTTGATTCACTTTTGTTCGTAAACCGATATGCGCTAACCGCTACGCCACCGCTCCCCGCAACAACAGCACATGGCTCCGTTTAACAATTATTATTATCCTCTTATTATTTGTTCTTTCGGTAAAGTCACGAAGATTGAAAACAAAAATAAAAAACAAAAAAACCCACGACGTTTCGATCGCAATACAAGCGGTCTTCTTCAGGCCGAGAGAGAAGAGGGGGAGGGGGGCTACCTGAAAAAGACCGCTTGTGTTGCGATCGAAACGTCGTGGGTTTTTTGCCTTTAATTTTGATTTTTGTTTTCTATCTACGTGACTCTATTAAAAGAACCAAGAATATGAATTCCCGCAGTCACGAAAGTTTTAGGTCTAAATATTATTATCTTAATTTTGCTGCCATGCAAACGACCCAGAAAACCAGACGTCACGTCTCCCGGGGGCCGAGTCACCCTTCAAGCGTGCGGCAGGCTGGGCTGGCGATGTAGGGCTAGAGCGGGAGGTGCCTAACCCTGACCACAACAACAACAGGACAACGAGCCGGCGAATCATTAACTGGCTGGGGAGGGGCAATTAGCGGGCAGCGGCGTGGCAGCCGCCCGCGTTTCCGTGGGGGGAGAATCGTTCCTCTGTTTCACGCCCCGTTAATTGTCCCTGCGCGCCTCTCGCACAAGAAGAGGGCAGCGGATGGGGACGGGCTTGGGAGCACCTTGAGTCCGCGCACGTCCCAGATGCTCGCCCGCTCGTCCGCTCTGCTGCCAATGCTGCATCAATGACCCCCCACCCCGGGGTGTGACGCGTCTCACTTATTCTCCACTCACTCCCTTTTCCATTCATTGAGTCCGCGCGAGCTTGAACGATGTGGAAACAAACACCACCGCCATCACCCACGACCACCACCATCACCACCCCCAGCCATCATCACCCACCCGCCACGAACGCAGAGGAGGAGCGGTTAGAAGTTCATCTCTTTCGAGTTACTTATTTTTCTTGGCAGCCCGCGGGAAGGGTTTGGCGGCTGTCCGCAGGCTGCGTGCGGAAATTCACGCAGGCAGGATGGGTCGCTGTCATGTTGACATGCACAGTATGCTGGTGCTTCCCGTTTGATGTGGGGTTATTTTTGTTGTGGCTGCTGCTGTCTAATTTTCGAGTCTTTTTGTTCGTTACGCGATGACCGAGCCACCTGGCATGCGTCAGATGCCGTGCGATCTCTGTGGCAAAGCCAGGGTCGAGGAAGGATAATGCTTGGACGAAATCAATTAATTGTTCATCCAAGTTTCTGGAGAGTTGAAGTCGAAGCACCCTTTGTTAGCGTTCACTCATAACGCACGATGCGGCTTTTGCAGAGGGCAAGCTCCGAGCACATCAGAACATCAACAGGCCGAAGCACACGTCTTCTTGATGAATGGAAAATTAAAGACAAAGCCACACCTTTATCAACTCCCACTGACCAGCGTGGTGAACTATGGCCAAAGAGCCCCCTACGGCTCGCATGGCGTGGAGAGGCCTTGGTCCAGCAGTGGATCGACATCGACAAAGGGCCTGTGTGCCTCTTTCTGTCTCGTGCGTTTCCTCATCAGCGGCTTCTGCAACGAGAGATGAAACGCGACGATGAGGATTGATGCTCTACGCACCCCCCTGATGGACAAAGCAGCTCCCTTGTGCCGACTCGCAGTGGATTTGCCCTTGGCCAAACTGCCACAAGGCAATAATCGGCGCGCAGATGAAGATATGTGAGATAGTCCGAGACAAAGAGTCCTCTCTACCAGCTTAGCTCAGATCTTTGCGGCATTGTGGGGGGGGGGGGGGGGGGGGCACGCGCTGTTAGCGATCACCTATTACGGCGGGCATGGCTTGGGAAGGAGTTTTAGGAGCAATGCATTACTCATAGGGTGTCGCTGATGAGGGAATACACTGCGGCGAGTCTCTCGTTGTCGGCTTTATCGGCCTTCGTAGCGGAGCAGCAGGCCAGGTTCATATAACTACCCAATGTCAGTGCATGGTCGGGGATCGACCCTAGGATTATCACGATTGTACTTCGCCACCATTCTCTGGCACACCATGGAGGATGGACGAGGATGATGATGAGGATGATGATAATCCAGGTATCGCTACACCCCTATTCACAGTAAATTGCGGCCGACCGGAATACACAGAAGAAGAAGGTTAAAAGCATGCGAACGCTGTATCCCATACAGATGGAACAGATGGAGTCCACATTTGCTGAACCCCATTGTCCTAGCGAGCCAGGTAATGGCGCCTCGACAGTTTCGTGACATTTCTGCGACCCACAAACCCTCGCCTCCACGGTGCTGGATCACAGGCGTGCCCAACGTACAAACTCAGCATCATCGCCACAATCACCACCAACCACAACAACCACCACCAACCATCATGACCACCACTTCCAACCACTACCAACCACCACCACCTCATCTCCTTCGAGACCCACCTCTTCGATGCCGGTCTTTGTTAGCTGCCCTCCACCATCCCGCACACTAATTCCACCCATGGCAAACGATCTCATTCTTCTTCATTTCACCTGCAACTACTTCCTGTCGTTTGTTATTTTTATATTTACTTTTCAAAAATCTACGCTGCACTCTAATGTGCGGATTGTATTCGAACAATCGCACACAAAATGGCGTCACCGGGGCATTTACAATCCACTTGAGCGGACAGGATTTACACTCCAGCGATCCGCCCAATTACTTGGAGCGAGACACCACGAAACTGCCAAGTCGACACAAACTCGAAATGCCCCCTCCCCCCACCGCCTCACTCGCTGTTACATTCAGCGCGTTTCTATAGCTCGCTGGGATTTGTCCTGTTCAATAACACGCACTCGCGCACACAAAGATAAAAGTCCCCACCACCACCGTATAGCCTCTAGCACACTGCTGGGGCAAGTGCTGCGAGCTAACACCCATGAAGGTGCCGGAACACCGCACCGTTTGTGTCCAACCGTGCCAATCGCCCGTGGTTTTAATCCCACATAGTGGATGTTTACACATCACACCAGGTACACAATTATATGCTGAGTCGACCTAGGGAAGGCCCAATTCCAATATTCGCCACCGTTATTAGCCGTGGGCACGGGAATCAAACTCGGGCAGCCGGGTTCATGCGTAGCACGCTCACCGCAACACTACCGCACACACACACACTCACCGCAACACTACCGCACACACACACGCTCACCGCAACACTACTGCACACACATACTCACCGCAACACTACCGCACACACACAAGCTCACCGCAACACTACCGCACACACACAAGCTCACCACAACACTACTGCACACACACTCACCGCAACACTACCGCACACACACACGCTCACCGCAACACTACCGCACACACACACACGCTCACCGCAACACTACCGCACACACACATACTCACCGCAACACTACCGCACACACAAACACGCTCACCGCAACACTACCGCACACACAAACACGCTCACCGCAACACTACCGCACACACACACACGCTCACCGCAACACTACTGCACACACACACACTCACCGCAACACTACCGCACACACACACACTCACCGCAACACTACCGCACACACAAACACGCTCACCGCAACACTACCGCACACACACACGCTCACCGCAACACTACCGCACACACACACGCTCACCGCAACACTATCGCACACACACACGCTCACCGCAACACTACCGCACACACACAAGCTCACCGCAACACTACCGCACACACACGCTCACCGCAGCACTACTGCACACACACACACTCACCGCAACACTACCGCACACACACACGCTCACCGCAACACTACCGCACACACACACGCTCACCGCAACACTACCGCACACACACACGCTCACCACAACACTACCGCACACACACACACTGACCGCAACACTACCGCACACACACACGCTCACCGCAACACTACCGCACACACACACGCTCACCGCAACACTACCGCACACACACACGCTCACCGCAACACTACCGCACACACACACACGCTCACCGCAACACTACCGCACACACACATACTCACCGCAACACTACCGCACACACAAACACGCTCACCGCAACACTACCGCACACACAAACACGCTCACCGCAACACTACCGCACACACACACACGCTCACCGCAACACTACTGCACACACACACACTCACCGCAACACTACCGCACACACACACACTCACCGCAACACTACCGCACACACAAACACGCTCACCGCAACACTACCGCACACACACACGCTCACCGCAACACTACCGCACACACACACGCTCACCGCAACACTATCGCACACACACACGCTCACCGCAACACTACCTCACACACACAAGCTCACCGCAACACTACCGCACACACACGCTCACCGCAGCACTACTGCACACACACACACTCACCGCAACACTACCGCACACACACACGCTCACCGCAACACTACCGCACACACACACGCTCACCGCAACACTACAGCACACACACACGCTCACCACAACACTACCGCACACACACACACTGACCGCAACACTACCGCACACACACACGCTCACCGCAACACTACCGCACACACACACGCTCACCGCAACACTACCGCACACACACACGCTCACCGCAACACTACCGCACACACACACGCTCACCACAACACTACCGCACACACACACTCACCGCAACACTACCGCACACACACACGCTCATCGCAACACTACCGCACACACACACACGCTCATCGCAACACTACCGCACACACACACACGCTCATCGCAACACCTGTACAATACTATTGGGGCAGGTGCTGTTAGCTGTTAGCAAGCACCTATGAAGGCCGGCACGGCACACGAGGGGGTGGGTGGCCAACACCACGCCCGGCCGCCTTTGTCTCCCCAGTGGTGATGTTTGCTTCACACCGCACCAGGTACTCAATTGAGGCTGAGTCGACCTAGGGGAGGCCCAGGACCGCTTGAGATAATCGTTACTGGTGGTGGCCGTGAGCGGCAATTGAACTCGGGTCGCCGGGATCGTCGCGCAGCGCGCTAACCGCTACACTACCGCACACGTGCGAGTTCACGCACGCGCGGGTTCACACGCACGCGCGGGTTCACACACACGCGCGGGTTCACACACACGCGGGTTCACACACACGTGCGAGTTCACGCACGCGCGGGTTCACGCACGCGCGCGGGTTCACACACGACCGCACACGCTAAATAGACTGCACCCCAAAGCGGTGACTCGGGAGTTGCGAGCCGCGCTGCGCGGGACACAGAAACAGAGTTACAAGCTGCGACTCAAAGGCTGCAGCTGCGCGACACAGGGGCAGCCCTGGCAAACACGGTCTCACGTTCACACGAAGCGATGGCTAGGAACTGGGGCACGACCTCCTACGTCCCGTCATCCCTCCTCCTTCTCCTCCTCGACCGCCCGTGGCTTTAATCCCACGATTATAGACATCTGCAGTGTGCGGAGCCAGTCACTGCACGCGTTGCGATGGTTCTAATCCTCCCAGGGAGAGTTTATTAATTTGTCGTTACCAAGGGTTCACTCTTGGCTGCTCGGCTCCAGCACTCCACAAGCAATGAATCGGTCAAACTTTATTTAATTCAAGGCCGCCTTTCTTAACACCCCCAAGGCCCCAGGGCCTTACATAATTTATCCTCCTTTGAAACTTTAAAACCGTGCAATTAAAATGGTAATCCGGTTTATCTACGACCATACAATTTTTGCGTCACTTTAATTTAGTTTTCAAATGTGAACGCCAGCCGAAAGTGGTGACGGTTTAAGTTGTTATATATTTGTTTTACTTTGGACGGTCGAGCGTATTCGATGAGGAAGGGAATTCAAAGGGGTAGTAGAAGCCATGCAAGCGCTAAAGGGGATGAGAAGGTTCGGAGGGAGAGGGGCTTGCGATTTCCGTACCGTCTACAAGTCGTGCCGTGCCTTACAGCGGGCACTTAGCACCGACTGAACTTACAAGCGAAGCTGCGTCGGAATCACTGCAGCTTGTGAAGCAAACTTACAGCCGCGGCTTAGTTGCTCACTCGATATTTTGCGAACATAAGACACTACTACCACCACTGGAGCACGTACATGATACGTCTATCTGTAATACTCCTTTATAATTATATACCCAATAGTCTTGTAACCCTATAAACGTTAAAACAAATGTGGACAAAATCAGACGGTGAATTGGATTACCGTCTGTTGGTCAACGTTAGTGTCTAGCACGGTTGGTTACGTACGGTGCGAAAGAAGTTCAAATGTACATACAATAACGATGCTCTGTTAAAATATAGTTGTTTTGGGTTGATGTGATCCTTATCCCATGCATCACGCATAGTTTTTATTCTTTTTCATTCGCAAGATCAGATATATATTCAAGACAGTTGCCGAGCCCTGTTTAGATTCCACGCGTCCCTCTACTTCGAGTGCCGAGTGAAAACAAATCTGGCTCTACCTACTTCATCATAGGGCCATTCGAAAAGAAAAATCCCCAAAAAATTGCTAACATACGGGGGGGGGGAAGTGTTCTGAATAATTTGACTGAAGTGGAATATGAAATCATAATCAAGACGTATAAAGCTCCGTTTGACGAAGCATGAAGGCGCTGTGAACGAGAAGCAGAAATACGTTAAAGGCCGAGTCGGGTGGCAGGGTAAGGGACGAGGAGGAAGCAAACAAATGGAACGAATCGTTAATAAACAGATCGGTTTTTAGTCGGGACTTGAAAATGTCACACTCCCCGAGAGCCTCATGTCCATGGTAACAAGGTCACGTAGCTATGGAAGGACTTTGTGTTTTGCAAGTTTCATGTACGCTCAAAATGCAATAAGTTTAAATATACGTATAAAGAAAATTATTTGTACAGTATTTTACAAACTATCCGCGAAACGAGTCTGTTAGTCAACGCCGCACTCTGTGACGGTTCTGATCGCTCCAATGATCCGCTTTGGGTTGTTCAGGCGAGACCGCTCTTACTTCCAACATGCACTGGGACACAAAACAATAAGCATGACCGGGAGCACTTTTAATTTTTATTTATTTATTATTTTTAATGAGCGCTCGTGAAAGAGGATTTTCTCTCTCTCTCTCTTTCTGTTCTTGTTCTCTATTCTCGATTCTTTGCAGAGTTTCGGTTTGGTGTTTTTTTGTGTCCGTCCCCGCGGCTCTTCCCCGTGCCGTGACCCGTGAGTGACCCCGGCAGTGACCCCGGGCTGAGACCACGGGGAGAGACCACGGCCCGGCGCTCCGAATCTCCCCGGCTCCGCTGGGCGCACCCACCGGGCTCCTCTCGATCCTCGGCGCGCGCTCTCGCACCACGCACGTGCGGTCACTCCACGCGAATAAAAGATTCAGCGTTTTGTATTCTTCGTCTGCTTTATCCGTCTTTGTACAAAGTCGCTCACAGTTTGCACCCGCGTGTAATTGGCGCTTTCAAAGGGGGAAGGCGCGCACGCACGCACGCTCGCCCGCTCCCTGTCTCTGCGCGCCACAATGGAACGGGGTGGGGGGGGGGTGAAACGTCGTCCTTGCACGACGCTGCTTCTCGAGTCGCCGTCCACGCGACGCGAGCAGCGCGCGGCGTCGGAGGCCGCCGCGGTCGCGGAGCCGGCGTCGTGAGAAATTCTCCGCGCGCTCTATGGCGGGCGGAGAAGGTCCATTGGCCGAAACGTCACCGATTGCATTTAGGTGTGTTCTTCAAAGGACACACGCACGGCGTTGTTGTTATTGACGAATGCGTTCTTGTTGTTGTTGTTTGTGCTCCACTGCCAACGCAGTAGAAGCACCACCGCATAGGGACTTTTATTCGGGCTGATGGACAAAAAAAACATTTGTTCTCGAACAGCCTACGTGTTGAACTCAAAACAAGAGGTTTGCTTAAATCGGAGGTTTACCCAGATCGCTCTCCCGCAGCGCCTCGTGAGTTCGGCTAGCACACAGCGCTTTGCGTGTGAACGGGGGCCCCCGGCCTTGGTGGGGTGCTCTCACCAATACTTTTTGCTGACGTTTTCTCAAATTTGTGAAGCATCTTAGACGACGTCACGAATGGCAGGCCTGAACATGGTCGACTCACGTTGTCAGCGGGCACCTTTCTGTCGCTGTCCCGTGGGGTCACCGTGTCATGTTCACTGTAGCGGTGGGCAATCCACTGCT